AAGAGGTAACTCGTAAAATCTCCACCGTTACGCTGGTAAGGTCACACCCGACGTCAAGGTTACCTTTCACCTCGACGTTCTTATGCTCTCTTCTGGAGGTTTAGTACTTTCTGCACCTGGAAATTCCACCAGGTGTTAATTAAGTGTAAAAGACGCCACATTGACCTTTCGAAAACTAAGTCTTTAAGTCATTGTTTGTTTCCTCGTTCAGTTGACAACAGCTTGAGAAATGTTGGCCTATTCTGATGGTATGTCTTTGATTCACGGCTCCATGTTGCTCCCTGGCGTACTGTCCCGTGTTGCCTGATGACAATACTGTAGTTGTATGTTACCGCTCTTTCTCAGCTATCTCAGCTATGTCCACTGACCCAAGTCTCACCTGACAAGCACGTGGAATAAGGAAATGTGACAACCTATGGCATTTTCATCTTTGTGGTAAAGGTGTTACTTCGTGACATCTTCAAGGCCGTAAGAATTAACTACCTTTTATGTATGGAGATTTTATGGGCAATGTTTTTGTCTGAAGAATGCATTGATATGTGCGCGGTCAGACTGAACTGCGCCGTTAAGCTGGTGGTATTTTTAAGTTTTTATTTCCCGTTATGTTAATGAATGGGCCCACTAAACCACAGGTTTGACATTATTCTTTGTTGCTTTTTTCTGTGTCTTGACCTTTGGTTATTTACGTGAGTGATCATCTGATTCTTTTGTTTCTCAAGAGCACATTCACTCTATTAAGTGGGATTACACATCCGTGTAACTATAAGCGATGATGTACATCCGTGTCAGTAGACTGAAAATGTACTTCTCCATCTGTATGCTGGAAGGTGTGCTTCTGACTATACGATCTACTGTCAGTATGGTAGACGATGTGCCCCGTGACCATATGACTGACATGTGCTCCTGTGTCTGTATGACTGACCATGTGCCCTCATGTCTTTTACTGGACACGTGCCCTCATGTCTGTTTGGTACGGGGGTGGGGGTGGGGGGCACATCGTCTGTCAGTGTGTTTGCAAATGTTTCCTTGTGTGAGTATGGGTGTGATGATACACCATTACTTAGAGTCTGTGTCGATATCCTGCATATTAATCCGAGTATCCAGGTATATCCATGCCATGCCATGCCATGCAACGTCTCTACCCTGGTATTGGTGACAATGTTGACGTTGGAGTAGCCAACGTTGGCATCAGTTATCACTTGATGTCTCTGGAGAATATGTTGTACCAGAGATTTGGGATCTGTTGAGGATAAACTAGTTTATTTGACAATTTTCGTCCTCCAGCCCGATTACCTTAAATTTCCCTATTAAAGTATGTTTATGTTTTCCTTACTGCACCTCTTAGCAAATTGACAGTGTCCATTATCATGGCATTCGTCGAAACGTTTTCACTGTTTAAAAAAAAAGACAATATAGAGATGCTGTTTTTCCAATACGACTTTTCAATTCAGTTTTTAGGTGTTACTTTGTGTTACACTGCCTGGCGTTTCGTATGTGAGGAACTCACTGACTGATCTGCTGGAGTCTGTATATTGTGCCTCAATTAGGTGTCCACATTAAACTGTGACATGCTATCCCAGTGGGTTACACTCAAACACCGACATTCTCATATCGCCAATAGTCAGACACACTTGCAATAGTCTTGTAGACGCGATTACATCAAGTTTCATCTCACACGCTAGGAGTAGAGACAGACAGCTGTAAGGTAAGGAATCAGAGCGCGACAGAATTGTTTAAATATGAGGTATCTCGAATACTGTAAGTATAGGCCAGGCGTGGGCTCGTTTTGTTTTATGAGCATCACCCATCATGTTCCATGACCAGTACCAGCGGGACGCCGCTCCACGCCTGCGTTGATCGTTGATGATATATGATGCCACTTTAGTGAAACGTGGTCCACGCCAACACGTGTACTATTTTATCACGCTTGTTCAGATGTTCAGGGTTACTATTTAGCTTTTTTCATGCGTGAATGTGATATTGTTTTGGCACAAGAAGACAGGAAAGTGTACGTCATAATTGATAGTCGGTATACCACTAGATATCTGCCTTCTTTGGTCTGGTTTACTAAAACTGTATAATTACATTCTTATTCGTCTTCGTGATTAAACGATGTATGCTGTAAAGAGCATGTAGTAAAACAATATTTTGAAAGGGGATACAAGAAAGTTTCAAAAGCTCTTTGACATTGAGGCTGTGCCTAGAAGGGAACGAGTTCAGCCAGGAAGAGACTCGCCTCCTTGTAAACCCCGCCCAGAGACCTATAATCATTGAATTGCTTCCGTGTACATGTATACATATGATCAAACTATGACAACATGAACCATGAATCATAATACATGTATTATATAAACACGGAAATACATGTGTATGCTAACACATGTCGTACAAAAGTGGGACAAACAGCATGTATTCTTGTTAAAATTTCAAACCAAAGCGTTCATGATATCACTTACATGCACATTGGTAAAGGTGAGACGGGCTCTTTTCAAGTGTTGTAAATGCGTCAACGCGTTAAGAATTTATACCAATTCAACGTTTAGGTGGGATATTAAATTAGTTTTACTGGTAATTGATTGTAGGGACTGTGGGATATATAAAAGGTGACAAACTTGTGGGGGCGGAGGGGTGATAGCATAGCATGATACAGACCTACCACCATCTCACCACGTATCCCCACCTCTATACTAGGTCACTAGGATCACCAGACCCTTGCAAATGTTGATCTATATTCCTCTGAATTCGGAAAAGCGACGGTTACATGACAACATCAAATATTATCCAAAATCACCTGGAAACAGTCTGTCAGATCTATTTGCCAGCTCTAGACTAAGAGTACTAGTGAGTGAGTATGTATGCCGCTTTTAGCAATATTCCAACAATATCACGGCTAGGGATCCAGAAATAAATGGACTTCACACAATGTATCCAAGTGGGGAATCGAACTCGAATCTCAGGCGTGACGAAGGAACGCTTTAACCACTAGGCTACCCCACCGACCCTCTAGACTAAGAACACCACTGTCATAAATTGAGTGGGATATGATAGACCAGAGTTAAAGAAACCCGCAATCACTTGAATGGTAACTATGAGTCAAGATGAAACGTCTCACATCTACTCTGATGATAGATACCTATTGCAGAAACTTCAGTAGATTAACGCTTAGTCTCTGAATATATATTATTTTAATAGTAACAAACAAACCCATTTAAATTGAAAAGGAGCCCCAGTGAGTTGGGAGATTCAGGGGAAATCTAGACTTGCTTTATTTAGGGTTTCAGCATTACAAAGAGGGCTAGGCAGTAGGGAAAATAATGTGGTTCAGGGACTGTGAGACAGACTAAAACTTCAGCCGCTAACGCTGTAGCTGTGTTGGTCTGTGGAGAGGGCATGACGTGACGGACAGGTGGTCCAGCCAATCGCTCGCTTACTGAGTCGGTCGCGACCATCTGTATGGTTGATATGACGCAATGAACAATCACAGCCCCCAGAAAGTCGTATTGAGTAAGAGCGGACTTCAGACAGGCAAAGGTTTTAGCCAGGAATGTGAGGCCGAAATGCACTGTACAGCCTATATCTGAGGCCTGTTGTAATGGAATGTGTCTCGATCAAGTTGTGCGCTGCTGCTCCCGTGTGACGGGACTTATGTGAAAGCGTCACGCACTGTTTGGGATACATCTTACGTCGTTCATTCCAATACGGATGTACTACAGCTTTTACTCTCAATCGTGAGTATCGTCAGACCACATGTCTGTCTCATTCTCCCTCTTGTTCAATATACTTGCTGTTCTATCCTACTGAACATGAAGCAATTCTCCAACACTCTGTTGACAGTACGCATTACCAGATATAAATATATGTCCATATATGTTTACCACTGTCTCGTGTCGACACAGATCTTGCCAGCTTAAATCCCAGTCGGCCTCAACTTTCCCTTTCTTTTTTCAATGTTCGGGTGAATCGGTTTTGTTTCACAGTTATGTGAATGTTCCAAAGTTTGTTCGAGCATTATCAAGAATTGTACTTATCTGATTACACGAGGATAGTCTAAACTATTGTTGTTCTCTTTTAAAGTTTTGACATTCCGTCGCACCTTCTTGAACAGAACCCCAACCCCGCACCCACGTTGAGTGGTAGTACGTTGTAAATGTATCACATCACTTATCACAATAACTCAGCACAGTAAATATACTACTCAAAGAAACCAAACGCCCAATTATATCATATTTTACAGCCAGTCTGAAATGTCATAACATTAACTCCAGTGGTGTAATTAGAGCCTGATGCTTCATTTTGGTTTCATATATCGCCTTAGATTGGAACCTGAGTTTCTAATATTCAATGTTTGTAATGTGTAAAAGCAACGTAGAGTAGTATTAGGACCGACGCACACCGTTTGCTTAACGTATCCGAGTAAATGTTGACTCGTGCAGCATTCAACACACGGGATGATGCGACGAGTGTCAAGTGTTTGAGACGAAGAGGCCGGTAGCTTCAGACGTAACTCTGTTCTGAATCAGTGAGACAACAGCCTCTTGGACGGGGACATCTTGAGTAACGAGGAGTTCTAAACGTGTTCACATCTGCATGAACCTCCATTAAATGACGCTTAAACACCAGTCCTGTATTGTCTGCAAGTCGTGATTTCACGTATAATATCCGTCTGCATATGACCTTGTTTTGGTCTGGTGAGTATCAAGGCGGATACTTTTCACTGTCGACTGATCTTGTCGAAAAAAGCCTGATTATTTAATGTTCATCTGTCAAAATTATGTCTGGAATTTAGCAGTGTTACGCTCAATGGATTCCTCTTGCGAGGTCATATTACAACACTCGTGCAAGGCATACCTTGCGATACTTATCCGCGGGTCGTTTGGGGTCAGGCTTGCTTTGTTTTGCCTGTATGTCGGGTTGATCATGATCCGGGGTTAGCGTTATTTCTTCGGTTTTACTTTTGTGTCTCCTCAATTGAGGTTTTATTATTGTTGTTTTTTCCCCAGACACAGTAAAGACGATCTGAAGTGCAGACGGTTTCTTTCCGAATATGGGTCAAGGTAAGTCAGTCGACTAGGAATTGTCAGTCCACGTCTCCTGTATTGAAATGTCGGTTATGATGACGCAAAACCTTTTGAAATTCATTTTAAGTTCAAATGGTCTGATATAGTACTCGACGTTTGATAGGGACAATCCGATATGAATATAAGTGGATACAAGTGTAAAACATTCATGTATCCATCACTCTCCTGAACGTTAACTTCCCTAAGCGGCATGTACATGTTATTTTGACGTACAAGAGATAGCTTGCTTTATAAGGGTGTAAGTAACTACAACCACACGTCGCACACGTTGTGCATGTCTTCAGATTTGTCTTCCATTTTTCTCAAACGTTGTTGAGTACAACCAAGTCTAATTCATGCTTTCTGTGTCTACTGACATGGGTAGCTTTTCTTTAAGTTTATGTATTTCGTACAAGGTCATTTAGTTCATGTTTGTGTACAAGAAACAACATGAAGGCGAGAATTTATGGATGTCAACTTCTTTATTTTGAGGGACACGAATTTTCGGAGTATATTCTTACTCTGAAGAAGAAGAATATTCTCCGAAATGTCATGTCCCTCAAAGGGGGCGGTTGGGTAGCCTAACGGTTAAAGCGTTCGCTCGTCACGCGGAAGACCCGGGTTCGATTCCCCACATGGGTAAAGTGTGAAGCCAATTTCTGATATGTGGCAAGTCTAGATGTCCACAGCTTCAATGAAGAAAGTCTCAGGGCTCCTTTGGCTCCTTTTCATTATATATATATATTTTTTATTATGAGCTTTTTCTCTGTGCAATATTTTCATTTCAGAGACTAGTTGTTAGTCTATACTTCGGTTATCAGTTCACACAGCTAAAACCGTAATCCGGCTTGTAGTCGAGAAAATGAATTTCGTTGAATATTTACATTCACACCAGTACCTAATCACATCTAGACGGCTACTATATAAACACATTCACCTTTCAATTACACTTGGCTTAATCCGCCCCTTACGTATCTCTGTTTTCATAAGAGATATCATTTCACGGGTGTCAATTACGCTTAAACAAACACAGGCACTCTTAAGAGGGTTAACAAAATAACCACTAATTGTTAAGCAGCTTATCTGGCCACAAGTTGCTGATTCGTTGCGGGTAGTCGGCTGTTCTGGTGGCGCCTGTGGCGATCGTTTCACAGCCTGAGGTCTATAATGCATCGTCTCAATGTTACTTATGCACGTGACGTGCAGCTTGACATAGATGCCATGGACGATAAAGGCGTCTTTGTTAGTTTTCCTTGTGGACGGTTTCCGTATGAAATTCTCAGTTCATTTTGAAAAGAAATGAATACTGTTTTATTTTTGCGCTTTGAGCATGTTGTACATGGAAAACAGCGCATTACAAGCATGCTATTATTATTATTCTCCATCAATTTACTAAGGAAAAGTTAAGGACGGCCTATTTCTCTCATTACTATAGTTAATCGTAACACCACGCCAGACCCGTGAAAGTCCGGGTTAGAATATTGATCTTCAGTAACCCATGCTTGTCGTAAGAGGCGACTAACGGCACGGGTGGTCAGGCTCGCTGACTCGGTTGACACATGTCATCGGTTCCCAGTAGCTCAGATCGATGCTCATGCTGTTGATCACTGGATTGCCTGGTCAAGGACGGCGGCTACCGTTTCGTGCGTAGTGTATATTCATAGAGTTGCACATATCCAATATTGGAGAATAGGGTGAAATATTGGTCCTGTATTAGGAACGAATCATGTTACACTGTTACAATTATTTCTCCCAGACTGCACTGAACACAATCTAAAGGATCATATCAAAATCATTTCACACTTATTTCAGTTTTGTCCCGAAAACGGTCGGCTTCTGCCAACATTACAGCGCACAAAAGCGACGACGTGACGGCTAACAGCAATGGCGACGTCGTCAAAGCGGAGGCCAACGGTTCCGCAATCCAGTCGACGGGAATTGAATCAAAAGTAGAGGTGACAGAGACAGATGCAGGTAGCATTACATTTTCTTGACTAAAACTATTAATACTTTTAACCTTATTTTCTCATGACCACAACCGAAATAATATTTTGCATATAAGTACATTGTAGCCAAGGACATTGGTTAAAATGTTGACATGCCAACATAGATCATTCTTAGAATTCCCGGTGGGTAGTCTTGTTGTTGAAGACTTGGGTTTGATTCTTGAAATGGGTACATCCTGTGAAACCCATTTATAGCCTCCCCCGACGTCATGTTGCTTAAATATTTCTAAAAGGGCCGTAAAAGCATACCCACCTACTCGTAATATTCCACGCCTTGATATTGATGGACTATTTCTAAAGGCCACGTGAGAGGACACTTGCTCGAAAAGCGATCTCCGTTTAAGGGTCAGGACACTAGGGTACGGTATTACATGTCGTTATCAGTCATGCACGAAGTGTAATGGAAGTCGACGGGCGATTGTTTGATTTTTTTCATGTTTTTCAAATGTTTTCGTTTCTGAAAGTCGAAATGTTAGTTTCTTTTGTGTCCAGGTAAGAGCCACAGGGCAGCTATTGGCCGTGTAGTATGCTTTCTTGTTTCCGGTACCCTCAAAGGGCGTTGGGCTAACCTAATGTTTTAAACGTCCGCTCGTCATGCTGAAGACCCGGGTTCGATTCCCATATGGGTACAATGTGTAAAGCCTATTTCTGGTGTCTCCCGCCGTGATATTGCTGTAATATTGCTAAAAGCGGCGTAAAACCATATCCGGTAACTCACAGGCACGCTCAAGAAACGCTTGCCTGCACAACAATTTGCGACACAATAGACATGTAACCGTTTATTCCCGTATTTTTATTTTGAGGAAGAAAATGTATTACAAATTCACTTCATCTTTAAAACGTATACACTATTTCCCTTACGCCACCCATAATCATCGGCTACTTGTGAAACAAAGGCGTCCACGTATCGATTGTTCAGGATCTAAAATTTTCAGAGCTTTTGAAGAACTTTCCTGTTACTTTGACACGACCAGGAACTCTATCAACTAGTCACGTTTAGCCTACCTGTTGACCAGGAAACTCTTTTAAATTACGTAGTCTTTCACTAGCCAGTGCAATAGTTTGTCGTTCATGACTATATATGTTTGCGTAACAAAACTGCAATGTTTGTTATGTTTTGAACGCTGCACTAATCGTGAATACAAGATCAGATTTGTTTAGTATAGTTTAACAAATACACACTTGCAGGTCGGTCATGTGATTTGTGAATTTTGTTACCTGAATATTACATACACCTGATATATTTCCTTGAGCAGTTTGCGTCCATTACACGCAACATACACGTACTCGTCATTCGTGACATACTGCTGGCAGTTTTGACACATGTCGTTGTGCCTGTACCAATCGTCATATCCCCCAAACACGCCTGTCATCCCTCCAGCAACATTCCAATCGACTGTAGATATCACCTGATGAAAGACATTCACATCGGCAATAAATACCCCCACCTAGCATGGGGGCATGATGGCGGAACATCTTAATGCTGGGGAGAGTGGAAAGTATATGTCAGAATAACACCGCAGGAAAAAGAACATATACCCCTTTTAATACTCTATTCTGAGAGGATGACATACATACTCGATTTGCGTTGAGAATGTACCAACTGACGCATAACAAAATACGAAATTAACTTGGGCCTTGTCTCCGTGCGAAAATAATAATTAGTCGCAATCATATTGCGATGTTGCCACGAGATGTGTCGTTCCTCCGAGATTTCAGAATCTCCCGCACCATCTGCTGATTGAACTCATGTAACTAACTGACTGAGTTTGGTTTTACGCCGCTTTTAGCAATATTCCAGCAACATCACGGCGGGGACACCAGAAATGGGCTTCACACATTGTACCCATGTGGGGATTCGAACCCGGGTCTTCGGCGTGACGAGCGAACGCTTTAACCACTAGGCTACCCCACCGCCCCGAACTCATGTAAAATTGTCACAGATAGGATTAAATCGGTTACAACTATGATCAGTAGCTCCCGGGAATATGAGGTGAGGAGGAATGGGTTTGAGATTATTGGTCTAATGCAGCTTTGTCTAACCTACGTGCATGCACTGTATATACATAAACACGTGTCCAGTGGGTATGTATCTATTTGTGTCTGCATATGTATCTGTACTAGTCCGGACTACTGCATGTTTATAGCACAAGTTCATTGAGATACGGGCCGGTGGGGTAGTCTAGCGGTTAAAGCGTTCGCTCGTAACGCCGAAGACCCGGGTTCGAATTCCCACAAGGGTACTATGTGTGAAGCCCATTTCTGGTGTCCCCCGCCGTGATATTGCTGGGATATTGCTAAAAGCGGCGTAAAACCAAACTCATTCATTGAGTTACATAGTAACACAACGAAGACCCAATTTACAACGCAGACCCAATTTACTGACTCCAAACCGCCCATTTCCTGTTTCATCCCCTCAATGCCGAGCGCCAGACAGGGAAACAACAAGTACCACGCTTTAACGGCTTTTGGTATCACGTAACTGGGAATCAAACCCACCAGTCAGACGGTGTATCCACTACACCACAGGGGACTTAAGACAATATGAACATCAACATAACCAGTTTACCGAGACGATAAGGCCACGTTATCGTATTCATCGCACTTGTTTACATTTTCCGCCGCCATATAGCTGAGATATTGCTGAGTGCGGCGTAAAACTAAACTCACTCACTCACTGTTTACATTTTGATCAGACAGTTCCATTAAAACTATAACTTGACCCCTGAAACATGTAACTTGAGAAATCTGTAACAATCACATTTCCCGAATATAGTTATTACTTAAATGTAAGGCGGGTTTATTTAATTTATTTTCCTCCTCTGAATCTGTACGGGGTATACTAAACTGTCAAATCTTCTCGTAGCACCAGTTAAAGAGAAGAAGAAGAGGAGAAGATTCTTCTTTAGCCTCAAGCGCACACGTCCGGGAAGCGGGCGAAAAAAGAAGGCGAAGAAAGACCGAAATGGGCAAGTCAACGCAGACACCTCCGGCAACAGCAGCAAGAGTGGTAATAGAATCAGTACGTTCTGTAGAATAGCCTTTGGTGGTAGAACAAGGACATTCTGTAGAATAGCCTTTGGTGGTAGAACAAGGACGTTCTGTAGAATAGCTTTTGGTGGTAGAACAAGCTAGGAAGTTCTGTAGACTAGTTGGTGGTAATAGAACCAATACGTTCTGTAGAATAATCGGTCATGGTTGAACAAGGACGTTCTGTGGACTGGGTGTTGTAGCAGAACCAGTCCGTCCTGTAGAGTGGTGGCGGTAGAACAAGTACGTTTTGTAGACAAGCCATTGGTGGTAGTAGTGGAATCGGTAAACTGCATTTTTCTGCAATAATTTGTTACAGCACCTAGCACCGTATCCCGCGCCCCTAATATCAAATACAGTTACCCATATTTCCGTAAATATCAACATTCCCGTGTTGACTATGTCAACTCGTATGTTAGTTTTATCTTTGACCAAAGATAATAATATGCGAATGATGACGTCTTGTCAAGTAAAACATAGACCAAGTATGCAAGTCTGCAAGCGCTGAATGGGACGCTTGTCTCGTAAATGTAGTCATGTGTGTCCTGCGGGCAATAGGGCTCCACCGGACAATGGACACGGTACGCTGTTATCAGATTCATCGGCTTACCGACTCAATGAGTTATGCGAGTCATGTACAGAGTTGAATATATAACGACCCATTGTTGTTGACTGCACAACTGACGTCGAGACATATCTGCTTCCACAAACCCAGTCTTATTCTCAGTATTATGTTTCAGGTTTGTTTATGGACGAGTTTCAGATACCGGAAGATGATGGTATTGATTCAGTCAGCCTGTCCTCAAACGGTAAGGTCAATATCAGTCGTCAATGATTGCAGTATATTGTTTGGTACCTTGAACAACATCGATGGCAGTCGAATCGTATTCTAATGAAAAAGATTGTTATCAACAAGATATGTAGAGCGATTTTCTGTATCATTAACATTTGTCTGAAGTTGTAATACATAAACATGAGACCGAACAACCCATACGTAAAATAGTGTGTGTTTACTCAAACTTTGATAAACACAAACTTTGATATAGCGCAAAATTATTGAAGTGAATTACTAGTATTACAAGTATATATGCCAACAGTAGTACCTTCACATGCTGCTTAGGGCGGTGGGGGTAGCCTAGTGGTTACGGCGTTCGCTCGTCTCGCCGAAGACCCGGGTTCGATTCCCCACATGGGTACAATGTGTAAAGCCCATTTCTGGAGTCCCCCGCCGTGATATTGCTGGAATATTGCTAAAAGCGGCGTAAAACTAAACTCACTCACTCACTCACTCACATGCTGCTTATTTGATAAAAAAATCCACAAATATATCCCAGAAGCATAGTTCAGGGCAATAATACAATATGACCACGGACGTTGGCCGCTGCCGGACGTGGCCTGATGTAGTTCTAAACAAATGCAGAATAAGCTTTGTTAGTAAATCACAAGGCATGATCTCATTTCGTTCATTTATTTCCATTCAGAAGAGAAAGATAACAAGAAGAGGAAAGATAGTGGTGTTGCCATCAGGCGAAGCAAGCGAAACTCCAACAGTAAAAATGGAAAGAAAAAGAAAAAGAAGTCGGAGAAGAAGAAGGAAGAAAAGTCCAAGAAGAAGAAAAATTCCAAAGATGAGGGCAAGAGCAACGTTGTCGTGGCTGCTGCTGACGGATCCTTGAACATCAGCAAGAGTGTAGAACCACTCCACGAATCTGTTGAAGCTGCCACAGATGAAGCTAAAGTATTAGCGTTGTCGGAGGAGAATGGTACCCAGGTTCTGACATCAGACAATGCCGTTGAGGAAGATTTGGTAGCGGCTGTGACAGCTGTAATGGATTCCAACGTGTCTGAAGGTAAGATGGAAGCTGAACCATCAGCAGAAGAAATTGTAGCACCGACGACGGCTACAGAAGTGGCATCAGCTCCTTCTACTGAAAAGGTGTCGGTCACGGAAGAGGGACGAGAACGAGCTCTCAAAACCATTGTTGAAAGTTCTGCACAGGAAGAGATAATTCAGTCCGTCGAGGCGACAGTGCAAGAAGCTGCACCTAGCACAGAAACATCTGACGGAGTCGCACCTTCATCTTCAGTAGCCGAGGTTGACCAACAGCCTGTTAGTCCTGTCGTATCAAACGCTGGTGACAATGGTGTCTTGAAGCGTGTGTCACTGGGACCAAGACTAAAAACAGCAATTTTGAAGAAATATAGCGGTGCTGGAGATGCACCACCGGAGACCAGAGTTACTTTGACTAAACCCAAAATTGTGGAAGTAACTGATCTAGTGCCTCCTCCCAGGAAAAACAGACCTCGACGCACACTGTCGCAGACGGCGAGCACTACTTCTAGCAGTGATCTTAACACTAGTAGCAGTCTAAGTCCGTCTTCACCTCAGACGGATGATGACACAACAGTTGTTCCGGAAAAATCGGATGTGGGATCAGTTGTTGCACAAACACTCCAGGCAAGCAGTGATCTAAAAACTAACGTCAGTAGCGACGTAGATCCTTCAGCATCCACCATGGACAAGGGCAAGGACACTGAAGTTTCCTCATCAGAAAGGTTGGATGTGGGATCAGTTGTTGCACAGACACTTCTGTCCAGCTGTGATCTGAATACGAACGCCAGTAGCGACGTAGATCCTTCAGCATCCACCATGGACAAGGGCAAGGACACTGAAGTTTCCTCATCAGAAAGGTTGGATGTGGGATCAGTTGTTGCACAGACACTTCTGTCCAGCTGTGATCTGAATACGAACGCCAGTAGCGATGTAGATCCTTCAGCATCCACCATAGACAAGGGCAAGGACACTGAAGTTTCCTCATCAGAAAGGTTGGATGTGGAATCAGTTGTTGCACAAACACTCCTCTCCAGCTATGATCTGAATACGAACGCCAGTAGCGACGTAGATCCTTCAGCATCCACCATGGACAAGGACAAGGACACTGAAGTTTCCTCATCAGAAAGGTTGGATGTGGAATCAGTTGTTGCACAAACACTCCTCTCCAGCTGTGATCTGAATACGAACGCCAGTAGCGACGTAGATCCGTCAGCATCCACCATAGACAAGGACAAGGACACCACCGTTACCTCGTTAGAACAGTTGGATGGAGAATCAATTGTTGCACAAACGGTCGAGGCCAGTGATCTGAACACTAACGTCAGTAGCGACATAGATTCATCAGCAACTGCTACAGACAAGGATACAGCTAACACCGTTGAGAAGTCTGGCATTGAACCAACTGTTGAACAGGAACTCCAGTCCAGCAGTGAATGCAGTAGCCACGTTGATCCTCCTTCACTTAGGGCAGATGAGGATATACAAGGTATTTCCCAAGGAAAGACAGAATCAGGCTTGACCTCAACGGTCGTCAATATCGTCGAATCCCAAATTACTTCAGCCCCTGACATTGAGGTAACAGGTGGCGATGGGAGTACAGTTAATGTTGCTCTTGGGTCGGTTCTCAATGCAGATACTCAGTGTGTGATAACCGAAACTGTGTTAGCTCCTCTTGAAGCATCAGTTACTCTTGTAGAGAACGAGGATGAATCTCCTGTTAAAGCCATTCCGCTCTCTGATGCAGAATATAGAGATGGAGCTGGTTCAGAAGTCGTACCTAGCACGACACTTGCTGACCAGACTGAGACAGCTGTCGATGATATGGGGACAAACACAGCTTCACTCTGCTTTGAGCCAACTCCAAAAGAAGAGCCTTCAGTAGATACAAGTGTAACAGAGCAAGTAACATCTCGAGAGCGCGCAGAGGTTGTGGAAGAAAGTGTGGCGTCCCAGTCGGAAGGTATGGTTGAAAGTGTACAACCAGATGCTCTTAAAGAAGAGTGTATTTTAAATGATATTGAGATTTACGTCGAACCTACGAAAACATTTGAGACTGAACCCGAAAAGCCAGATACAAACACTGAACCAGTTATCGTGATAGAGAGGATTCACACTGAACCTTATTACGGACCTCTTCCTGGCAGTGAGGATGGTCAAAATGATGACACTGGGAGTGACGGTGTGGCGGACGTCACTGATGCAACCAAACAGAAATTCTCCCGCGAGACTGGAGAGGTTTGCAAAGAATGTGTTTGTGAGGATGAAGTTCCAATGAATGCAGATGAAGAAATTGCTGAAGTTACGGAAGTAGACGAAGTCGCTATAGTTGTCGAGAAAGTCATGAAAGTATCATCAGAGACTGAATCAGCCCTAAGTGATCATCAGTGCGTTAGTGCGACTGCTGAAACGCCCACTGAAGAGAGGCAAGAGGAAAGTTCGACAAATAAGGACAGTACTGGTCTGCACGCGGAAGACCATGACGAAAGCTCCAGCACAACAACCGACAGTACGATTGTTGACGAGGATGAACACGACAGGACTATTGTTGAAGAAAAGAACGTAGCTAAAGAACCTGAAAACGAACACGCTTCAAATGAACGCAAACCTGCAATATGCAATGGTGACTCTAATGGACTCACTCATGAGAGTGGCAGTGATTCTAGCTCCAGTGTGACAACTGAAACCTCCCGAGGTCAGGAGGAATGTACAGACACTGCTGTCGCCCATGAAGGCGACAGGAAAGTTGTGGTAGACTGTAACGATGAGCATATTGAGACATTGGTTGGCAAAGTTAATAGTGAGCACGATTCTTCAAGCCAGAGCGACAGAGATCTGAGTGACAATAATAACAGTAAAATCATCATCTCGTCAGAACAAGAGAATATCATTGAGACCATCCAGAAAGTATCGGGTAAGTGGCTGTAGTTTTGTCTTGAGTTTTATTATGATTTGTGTATTTCTCTTAAGGTAGATACAAATAATCGCGTGTTTTAACCGGGAATTAAATATTGATTCTGATGCAGTTAATAGCTGTTGCAGTAAAGGTAAAGGAGTGACGCTTTTGTAAGATCATGATTATTTAAGGTCTTGACTATGCAAGGTTATGATTGTAAAGCTGTCACATCATTCCTTTACAGTGACTTGTCTCATCTATGTCATCTTAGGCTATTGTCAAACTCCCCAGGGATTATACATTTAGGGATCCTTTCTATAGTATGCATCGCCATGACTTCAGGTAAAACTGACAGTCTACCAAACCACGAATACCGCTGGCCGAACCCCTTTTGCCATTGTACTAACAATTATACGACATGGATTCAACTTGTCAGCTTCATCATTGTGTGACGACTAGCTTTCACAAGCTGGTTTGGGGAATCAGTGTTGAGGGTAACAGGTGACTGTTTTTAGTTAGTAAAAATCTTTAAGCCCATCGTGGAACACCCTAGGGTACGGATGCTTAAGATGCACAAGCTTTGAAATTAATAAAACGTAGGTGACATAAACTCTTTAGGATCATACACATGACTAGCCTTGGGTTTCTCTCATTTTTGTATACGTCCACTACAATCTACATTCCCTTTATTCTTTTCATCAGTATGTCGAGTCCAGAAAGTCGACATTTATATTTATGTAATGTTTGTGATATACCGCTCAAAGTGTGCTTAGGATCACCGTTTTTAAGGTTGTGTGCATCTGTTGAAATAGCCAAAGATAATACTGAGTGAAGATATGTTTTATGAACACAAATCTCTTAACATGTACAAGACAATCCAAACAAACAACCTGTAATCAATGATAAGTTAGATCAATACTCAGTCAAATTCAGAGTATTTGATTCAGACATAAACTTAATAAAATCAAGAAAACCAAATCATTGTCACCTTCCCGGCAAATTCTCAGTAGCGTGTATGTAATACACGGGATGCGATCGCAGCCTGATACTGTCGTCTCTTGCTCCCATTAAGTGTCTGGATGGTTACATGGGAAACTGTTCCATTCTTCAGTAAGAGCATTGGCGAGTTTCTAGAGTTGCCGGAAGGAAAGCGCGTCGTGAGAGTCAGAGTACAAAAGTTAACGCCACTGGCGTTTGTGAGTATGGTGGCAGTCAGTAGCTGATGCTGCAAACACGTGTGTGGTGGAACGCTGTCGACCACCTGCAAGTCGCTGATTCAAGCGTCTTGTACCGATTCCATGTCTTTCTGATCACTCTTAGGGTGACACCAAAGATGTTTGCAACGTGAAGGTGTGTTGACATAGTTTCAACAACGCCTATGTATATGCCTAATATGCCGTTGGTCCGTCGACGTCTTTGACGCGGGGGTCGGGGTGGGGTAATAAGGGCTTCAGTTGTTGCCGTCTTCAGTAGCAAATGCTCTCTGAAAATGACATGCAACGATTCTGTCATGACATCATGCTCATGACAGCATGCCTCTCCGTTCACCACATCACAGGGGGGTGGGGGTAGGGGGGGTTACCCAATCATTTCGCCCCGGAATATTTCAATCTTCATGTGTTGAAGGTTTTCATATTATAAAACGTGATCCTTAGCAAACTTTAAAACGTGATCCTTAGCAAACTTTAAAACGTGATCCTTAGCAAAATTTAAATATTATAAAACGTGATCCTTAGCAAAATTTGAATAGTATAATTCATCTGCATGCATTGTCGGGATAAACCCTTTTCAAAGAATACTGTTAAGATCAAAATGGCTGTGAAAGGGGCTGTAAAATTACCATTTCATCATTCATCACTCATTGTAAACGTCACATAAGAGTTAATCGTCAAGAATGACGATTCTGTAACATGCAGTGATACTTCACAGGGAGGTGTTGTATAAATGTCTAACCACAAAATGTCAACAACGTCGAGTTGAGAAGGCTATTGCCACAAATATATTTTGGAGGGTGTGTCTGCATTACATGCACACCGTCAGGTCCTATTCAGTGCTTGATATATCATATGTAACTATTTTTGGTATCATGGCTTACGCTTTTTCACTTTTATAGTTAGCAATTCAGTAACACGTTCTTCCATTTAAAAATGTTTAGACGAGGACATAGAATAATAGCAGTTGTCTTCTCCACAAAGTAAATCCCAAATGGTTGTGGGATCCCATTTCCATGTAACGACGTAAGCCGAGCAGCGGGACATGATATAGCCGTGCCCTGTAAACATTATCTGGATTAATGTGGAGGGGTCAGCATGTCAGACCAAGACGGATTTCAAACAAAACATCTCGGCTCCTGGTCTTAAGTAGGCTGTAAATATACACCAGTGACATGGGGGAGATTGTAATTTCTAGATTTATTACATCGAACCTCTTCTAAACCATAACACGGGAGTAAATGACATTCCAGTGTACTTGTCTAACAAAAGTACCCACTGACGATACGACTGGCTATTTTAAGATGATAAAAAGTGGGGCCGTTGCGTAGGTTTATTGGGTTACTGGGTTAACTGGTTTGAGAGCTCAATGAAATGTCGAGATATGATGTTAGAAGCAAGCCGTATTTTGCACAGATGACACGATAGTGGACTGTGCCCACCTACATTGTTAGTTGGGCACTAGTTCTGATGCAAACAATACTCAACAGCAAATGTAGATGATGCGAAATTACTTTGTTGGTAGAGCAGAACTCCATACGACACCACACACGAAGACCTGATAGTCAATGTTTATCAATCCAGAAAGGCTGAAATGGCTTCAGAATATGATCCCGAAGAGATTTCGTCTTTATTGCGTTATGTTTCTTAATAGCCGAACAGATTGTGAAACGAGGTGTCACAGTGTGATTTAGATTATTTTATGCTACCTTACCGTATGGAATTACCGCTGATTTGCCGGGGACAGATAAAACTTCACCACATGTGATAGTAGTAGTTTTGATCTTTCGATGATACTTAAAATAATTTTAAGTGTATTTATATCCCATGGAGATAAGGTGAAACTGGTCTGACTTGAATGTTTCCGATTGCGATTTTATACAGTAGTGATGCATTATGTTGGGTTAGGTGTCGTGACACTCGGTACATGCATCATTAAACTATACGGTCCATGGTCCCTAGTATGGTGATCAAAGTTAACATATTTTAGATTTTCATACTAGTTTTACAATTATATCTTTGACATTCTAGCTATTTTTACTGTCCTTCGCTGACAGGTTTCTAATATTTACCATGATTTATTATGAAATTATATCTTGTATTTAGTCACGATATGGCTGAAAGATTGCAGATGTGACTTAAAATCATAACTCACTCTCTAAATAAACGATGCGGTAATGTGTCCATGGTGTTCTGTACCAAGTCGGGGGCGATAGGGTAGCCTAGTGGTTAAAGCGTTCGTTCATCACGCCGAGAACCCGGGTTCGATTCTCTACATGGGAACAATATGTGAAACCCATTCTAGTGTCCCCCGCCGTGATATTGCTGGAATTTGTTCTAAAAGCGGCGTAAAGTCAACTCACTCACTCACGCACCAAATCGTGTGCATCACGTACATGGAAACTGGGAATTCGTGAATGACGGTTACTTCTACAGTTTCTTCTATAGGTTATATGCGTTAATCATGCCATTTCCCAAATATTTGTGATTGTGTTCATAGTTTCAACAACCCGTACAGTGTACTACTGTGCCGTGAAGATGAACGCTATTTCGGTAGTTAATCCCACCATGGACAGACAGTCACGTTTTGTGTGATCGCCCCTGCTTAACTGTTTCCCCCTGAACAATGTACAGTGGACGTGACGAAGTGGGTGTTACCACGTCCAGGAGATGAAATATATCCTTATCTCTCTGGAAGACAAGCCTAATGCATTGCCAGATTCGCCCTTTGTGCTACAGGAGAAATTCCTCTTTTTACGCATGCCTTCTGCTGACCTCTCAGCTCTTACACAGACGTAAACACACTTTGCCCTGTAAGGTGTATACGTGATCACGATGCGTACCCCAGTGATGTTCAGGACAATTCATCCATGAACAGTTTATATATGTTTTCAAATTATGTTACCCACTCTTGTTTAACAGTTGTTTGATCAAGGCCTTGATACAGCTTTCAAAACGTATGGTAGACTTCTGGATGGCATTTCTAAATTTTATTCGTCAATGACGAACATTTTGTGAGATTTGATCTGGATTTTAGGTGTTATAAATGAATTTCCTGTGATTTTTGTTTGTGATCAACTTTGCATCAGGTTGTTACGGGTCCAGCAAGATATAATCGTTTCCCGAACACCCGGTGTACGCACCAGTTGCAAGTCGCTCATAGGTACCTGCTTGTCCTTTTGTAATACACCCGGCTTTGGGGATAGTTTTTTTGCCATCGTTTCGTTGTATTTATTCCAGAGAATACACGTAGATTAGCTTGAATAACCACGGACCCCCTTCAAGAGTACATGCTGAGTGTCAAACACTTGAAACCATGGACATATATAAACCTACATCAGAGGCAATGCCATAGTATTGGTGCATTCTCAGATCTGAAATCAGTCCTGCGGGCTGTGTTGCAGATTTTACAGACGCCTCGGTCGGTTAAAAATTGAATGCAAAAACAGCGCTTCATTGAATTCTCAGACCGATGACATCTGCTTTCATGGCGTGGTATCAGCAGATAATCGGTCCAATAATTGTTTTACAATAACACAAAATGTGATGGCATTGTTATAAATGTATAAGTCCTGCATCGCTTCGGGCCTTTCCGACACTAAGCTGAAACACCTTTAAATACTGACCAAAGCGGCGTTTACTGCAACCCACTCACTGATGGTGTAGTTACTACTAGTTAGTTTCATTCGTTTATGAACAGAGGGATATGATAAGAAAGCGTGTATACAACTGTAATATGACAGTCTACGCGTGCTTTTTTCAACCAGAAGGCTGCGTTATATTTTTCTCATCTAATATGGCCCACCCCTCAGCATTGTTCTTCATTAGGTCAAAGATAAGAACCTGTGTTAAACACCTGGCTTCAGGCGACCACAAATAGCGCAAGCTATGAGCATGAATGGGGCATGTCAACATGTATTGCATTTGTTCTTGTTGCGGACCCTTCCTAATGGTCATGGAGTGCAGACCGAATGTTACCCCTACGCTTGTTTGCTTTTGACTTTTTGTACAACTGAATCACATTGTTACAGATCCCGTGAACCTAGTCTTGTCCGATAATTACACGTCAACTGCAGCTGCCGAGACGGTGGCTGGGGAGTGAAGTCGACGCATCTACTGTCACGTGACCACACAAACAGGCAGCAGGGGACCCTCCATCTACAGGGAGGAGAGACAAGATGGGGTGGACAACGGAGGGAAATATCGCCTGCGGATATGCTGAGCGCATACATATTTCACAACAGCGCCTAGTGTTTAAAATAACACGCATTTAGGCCGAGGAAAGCATAAGATATACATGTATTTGTTATACAGCCACGGTGCTGGTACTGCTATTTACAAACGGCCACTGATGTTGAGTTCCATCTCCGATAGATATATACCTAATTGCGTGTATGGGCGTGTGTGTGCACGCCCATGTGTTCGTCAGATGTAGAGTTCACATGAAGCTCTGTATAGTGCTCATTCACGACGACGGTGGCCAGATGAGGACTTCCATCATTGTACATGTTAACGTGCGGTTATATGGATCCCAAATCCTGTGATCCGAAACTTGCAATTTTCTATATGTAAACGTAATATGAACAATCGTTCCAATGTGCAAATTATTATTTATGAATAACGTATTTAATACCAAAGAGATTTTGTAGCCTGCAATATGTTTTGATATGTTATATTTCGTGTTGTTAAATGAAACGGTTGTGTATTGGAAACTTAAGTTCCAAAACTGAATGGATAGTCTTCAAATTTCAGATGAAGCTGAAAGGAGAACATATTCCAATTAATGAAACAATACATCTAGCTACTGCATGTTTTTTCCTGCATGCTGAGTACGACACATGTATATGGAATATACGTTTTATACCATGGTATGTTTAATATACATAATCATATCTACCACCGAATACTTAGGGTCAATGTACGTCACCATGTTCTAGTACAGCACCTCAGTAACCTCAGTGATGGGATTCAGTATACACGCATATATAACAAGGTAACTCGGTTGTGATAAAATTAAATAACGCCAAGAACACCGAACAATCTGTCCAAGTTTCACCTACATGTGAATAAACTTGTTTTTTCTTTGTTCCTCCCGACAGCCTCAGCCCGCGATGGATCAGATGTGAATGTGTCAAGTAATAGTGTAATTTTATTGTTTACACTGCGGAAATACTTAAGGTTCATTTGAATATTTTCTTTTCCTAAAGGCAGCTAAGTCTACAAGCTTATACACTCAATGAGCATTTTCCGAACATCACTCTTCATGTAACGACTTGTAGCTAGGTCGTGGGGTTGCAATTCTAACCAAAATTAATAGCAATATTGTTTTCCATGTGCGACGATGTTGTTAGCACTCCCACCGGTATATCTAACGTGGCTTGGCGAAATTCATCCATATATCTATATCATGTACTCAATGGTATAATTTTGCTACATTCCATATTTGCTACCACGAACTCGAGAAGGGAGATAACCACTGTCATTATTCCTGCCTAGAGAACACATTACGGGTCCACAAAGCATTATCACGATACTCGAATACTACTTAACGAAATACCAGGTTCGATTATTTGTTATATGTATATTATTATTATTATTGTACATACTATGTATATTAATCGATCATGTTTACATCGATTATTATTATATTTTGTTAACGATAAAATATATTGGAATAAAATAATGTAAGCAAAGTTTGCCTTGATACTTGTCTGTGCAGTTGACTCGAGAAACGTCGCCGAAGCATATCATTTACTAAAGCTCTTAAGTGAGTGAGTGAGTTCAGGTTTTTTTACGCCGCACTCAGCAATATTCCAGCTATATGGCGGCAGTCTGTAAATAATCTAGTCTGGACCAGACAATCCAGTGATCAACAGCATGAACATCGATCTACGCAACTGGGAACCGATGACATGTGTCAACCAAGTCAGCGAGCCTGACCAACCGATCCCGTTAGTCGCCCCGGATCTTCACGGGTTCGAAAGCTCTTAAGGTCATTATACTGTTGAATGATTTCGATAGCTGCACAGGGATGTAAATTAGGCTGCAACCGTCAGTTACACATGGTTCAAGTGGTCTGAGTATAGTAACACTTCCATGATCATCATTACATTGTGTATGCTACTCGGGATTGAATTCATTCAGTAACAAACCACATGAAATATAACTTCATGCACGATGCTCACCCTCATTGTCATTGAGTAAAACATGGGATAAAGATGAGCTCTTGGAAAAGAACCCTACCTTGTGGTTAAACACCCCATGTTCATTGACTTTAGACATGACCACTTTACTGACTATAAAATACTATTGTCATACAGTACAAAACTTATTAGAATTTGTTGGACATAAACTGAGATAGTATGAGTTCGTCCGATGGTATACATGCATCATTCTTGTACACCGAAAACACCTGAAAATACCGAGATTGGTAACTCCAAATGTGGGGCATGTGTCTTTATAGTTAAGCATATGGGTCCTCACCTTTATGAAAGCAGGCCTGATTGCTGTCTGTGAAATAATGTGAAAAGGTATTTGAAAATAAACATCAGCTTTCAAGCAAAACTTTATTACCATAAGTCGACCAAACCATGTGTGCTGCCGGAGAGATGCTGGACTCAAACACAGTGCCATGAATCACGCCATCTTGACTCAAATGGATCGTTGAGGACGTTGCATCACCGTCCACCTTTCCCCAAACACTAACTTTGACCACTATTTGATACAAGTGATTAATACACATATCCACATGGTGAATGTGGAATCGAACACCAGACCCATGAACCCTGCTTATGCGCTTACGCTTGCGTCACCAAACGACCACTGTTAACGGACGTGGCGCTGCCCTGCGGGAAGAATAGGATAGAATGAGCCAAGCTGACATTTGACGTTTGATAAGGAGTATGTCTCGCCGTATTGTCTTAAAGCGGATTTATACGGTTTTAATGAGTGTGATGGACATCAAACCGCTTAATTGTCTTCTGACTTTCAATGACTAATGCAAATCACAATCAGATATCCCTGTTACACTCTTTCTGTAAACTATTTATCCCATTGAAGATATAAAATATCAATAGTTATATCAAAATCCCCTTATTGTTCAGTAGTATATTACCATCTAACTGGAATAACTTTAGAACGGCAGTTTGTACCAGGTGACATAGAGATGACCAAATCAATGGAGGGTATAGAGCGACATCATTTCAACTCGGTAGCTTTTGATTGCTTTACAATGGGGTGTATTGACGTAAGGCCGCAATTCTTCTATTCGTGAGTTACTGCAACTTCATCACCTATTGTTCTGCAGAAAGACGGGGCGGTGGGGTAGCCTAATGGTAAAAGCGTTGGCTCGTCACGCCGAAGACCCGGGTTCGAATCCCCACATGGGTACAATATGTGAAGCCCATTTCTGGTGTCCCCCGCCGTGATGTTGCTGGAATATTGCTAAAAGCGGCGTAAAACCAAACTCAGTCAGTCAGTCTGCAGAAAGACACCCCATGTGGACAGAGCTAAATTACATTTTACCCCGGACAGTGTTTGTACTCTGGAAAGTGAAAATCATAATTGATTTCCGTTACCTTTCCATACAGCCTACGAAAGTGTTAGCGTAATTGAGAGAAAGAATCACAAAATATGAAACCGTATCGTATTGACTCAACAAACACTACATCAAAGAGCTATGTTAACATAAAGGGTTGATATTCACTTATAATTGTACCATATTGTTACTTCTGTCACTGCTTCTAGTTACGATATGGCTGAAATATTGCCGATGTGACTTTAAATCTTAACTCACTCACTCTGTCACTGCTACAACAGTAAACAGAGCGGCGACACCGGGTGTTCGCGAAAGTGTGCTGTGCAAACCACCACACACCGACCCCAAACACGTAAAATTAGGCTCACACTAGAAACTATTGTGATCTCTGGGGTGTCAAATTTGGTAATGGCCACTTCCAAAGAGTTGGTGACCTTTTCTAAGGCCTTGAATAACGTATCCGTACCCTTTTGGCAACTGTTGTCTGGTGTTCTTTGATTGTCTTCACGCAGGAAGGTCCTCGGTTCTGCCTCAAACTTTGTGCACTTCAGATTAGCGTCAGTTAGAGTGAATTAGAAACCATACCAACAGACAAAGAGGACAGAATCAAAATGTAAACATCCCCTGTGCTCACCACAGCACCCCTAAGAACTAGCAGTCAAGTAGGCTGCGCATTGACTTTGTGAGAATAGCCTACTGGTGTTAACCGGATATATTTATTTCGTAACTAATCGACACAGCTAACTGGTCAATTTTAGATTGATAGTGGTTGTTTTGTCAAATATATACTAAGCAGCAAAAGAAACGTCAGTTTGGAATTTTCCTTCCCAGAAACGGATACCTGTAAACTAACTCATTTAATGTTTTGATTGAATATTTTTGACAACATCTCCAACTTTACCTGAGCAAAGACATTCCTTCTCAGACTCAGAATGGAACCCAGGAAATGGTATCAAAAACACAACCTGATCTCGGAGATGGTACGGTGTTCTCCATGTTTTTCATGCAACTCATGCTGCACGAGCTGTTCACAAGGACCAGCCCTATAAAATGCACCCCCAAACCTGGTTGAAACATTCACATTACAACGTCAGCAGGATGCCGCGACTCATGACAGCTCAGAGGATCCAGGGGGCGGTGGGGGTAGCCTAGTGGTTAAAGCGTTGGCTCGTCACGCCGAAGACCCGGGTTCGACTCCCCACATGGGTACAATATGTGAAGCCCATTTCTGGTGTCCCCTGCCTTGATGTTGCTGGAATATTGCTAAAAGCGGCGTAAAACCAAACTCAGTCAGTCAGTCAGTCAGAGGAACCAGGCTCTAGGAAGACATGAAGCTGGCCACACTGCACAAGCCGTTGCCAATCACTTCCAGGTCAACGTTCGGACCATCTACAGGCTGCAGCAACGTTTCCGGGCCACCAACACCACAAATGATCGAGCCCGTACTGGCAGACCAAGGGTGATCAGAAGACGACAAGACCGCCATGTTGTGCGACAGCATGTACAGAATCCCTTCATGCAGGCATCCGAAACAGCACGCAGACAGTGGGAACACACGGAACCAATCAGTACTGATACAGTACGCCGACGTCTCAACAGCGGGAAACTCCATTGCCATAGACCTTACTGTGGACCTATCCTCATCCCTCGTCATCGGTGTGAACGTCTACAGTTTGCCCTACCAAAACACCAAAACTGGCGATACAGGCAATGGAAAACTGTTCTGTCCACAGATGAGAGTCGGTACTGCGTATCAACTGCAGATGGCAGAACAAGAATATGGCGACGACGTGGCCAGCGTTACTCAGACCAATGTGTTATGGAAAGAGACTCATGGGGAGGTGCAAGCATCATGGTATGGGGTGGAATAGGCCTGAACCAGAGAGTGGGTCCTGTGGTGTTCCAGAACCTTGGTCCAGGGAGAGGAGACGGCATTTCGCATGTCACCGGAACAACATTTTCCAGCATGATAACACCCGGGCCCATACTGCCAGGGCTACACGGGACTTCCTACAGCGGAACGGTGTCAACATTATGCAGTGGCCAGCTCTTAGTCCTGATGTAAACCCAATTGAACACCTTTGGGATGAAATTCAGAGGAGACTGAATAATGTCATACCAAGGCCGAACACAGCCGATTTATTGCGCCAGGCCTTTCTCAGAGTGTGGTTCAAGGTGCCAATAGCCTTCATCAATCGATTGGTGCACTCCATGCAAAGACGCTGTGCTGCAGTTATTGCCGCTCGTGGTGGTCACACTAGACACTGAAGTCAAGGGTCTGAATGGACTGCAAACGTTCACGTAATGTCTTTGAATCGAGTTATTTATTGATATGTCAAGATATTGAACACAAAAACTGTTTTTGATCCGGTTATTATGTCCATTTCTGTAATGATTTGATTACTGTGCCCATCTAATTTTGAATTCGTACTGACGTTTTACTGCTGATTATATTAACGAAGAACACACAGACCTGTGAGTTTAGTTTAACGCCGCACTACGCAATATTCCAGCTATATGGCGGCGGTCTGTAAACAATCGAGTCTAGACCAGACTATCCAGTGACCAACATCATAAGCATTGATCTACGCAATTGGGATACCAGTCAGCGAGCCTGATGACCCGATCCCGTTGGTCGCCTCTCACGACAATCATGGGTTACTGAAGATCAATTCTAACCCCACAGGGTCCACAGTCCTGTGATATTTCACCTCAAACTGGATATTGGTTTAGGATATATTTTTGAATTACACATCACCATTCCGCATACAGAGTGACTGAGTTATTGTAAAACCCTGAATAGTTTGAAGGGAAAATCGTAGTTCCTAAGATGAACATACACAGGGCAAATTAAAGTGAGACATTTTGTGATTTCGTGTGAAACGTTACATTTGGGTCATTTTGGCTACTTTGAGGCTTAGTAATATAAGCTGACTAATTGACTTCCATCTGAGGTTGTCTACTCCTCCGACACGTGCAGATCTACACGCAAGCAGCATCACCAACACCGACAGCGTCATCTTCCTACGCCAACGTTGACGTCCCTGAGCGGCACCTCTTGAAAAACATACTGCATTCCACGTTTGATAGTTGAGACTGTGTAGAGAGAGACCAGTTTAGCAGTTGTGTTTGAACAGTCCGGGTGAATGATTCCTA